AAAGGCGCACACATATTATAACGTTAACTCACAATATGACTAAAGCTTTTCATTTCACAAAATTTTTATAGAGGCTGAATGAATTTTACATTTTATATTTGTCTGCAATGCAGCATATACATAAAATTGCTGTGCAATGATATTGCTTTAAATACATGTTATGCTCATATTTTTTCAGTCAAAAAGTGTTTAGTATGGACTGAGATAATTAACCTGCAAAGGAGTGTAGAAGAGTGTAGACCAGATACTCTAACCTCTCTGACTGATATTTTATCCACAGCAATAAGAATTCAACATTTGGTTATTACAGGTGCAATGCAGGTTTATTTCGCAATCCATAAAAAGGATACCTGGAACTTGATAGCAATATCTTCTCCATGGGTCCAAGAACCTATTTTATGAGACTGGAACTAAGCACACGTGGAACTCCTTACTGGATTGGAGAATGGCCGCAAGCCAGTAACACGGCTTAAATCTGGCATGTATTCTCCGACCAGGGCACTATTTGGACAGTGAGGATGCATGGTGATGAGTTTTCCAGGGATATATTGTGTGGGGTACAGTACAATGTAAGGAAGTTCTGGTGGCCATTTTGTATGCTCTTTTTTTAGAACTGTGACAGCACAGCTGGAAGCCAAGTATGTTAGCTGGGGATAATGTAATGAAGTCCCCAGACAGAGTGGCACTGGGGGAGTGATCATTGTATTGCACATTTCATTATATGGAAGACCTCCTGCTGGGAGAATCAACATTTCTGTGTAGCTAGGTGCTGTGCAATAAAGATCATTCTACTGCTGCATTCAGAGTAGTCTTCTGTGTGAGGGAAAAAGCTATAGAAACGTTATAGTATCTGCTGAGCTGGTGGAGGTACTCAGTCAGGGTACAGGAGCTATGTCACCACTCCCTCTGCAACCACACCACAACATCAAATGCAGAAGTGGGAAGTTAAATTAAGCTTGGCATTCAATGCCATATGTGAACAATACTGGAAATTAATTTATTTACAAGCCCCCCAATTCTCCTCAACTGAGGTCGCAGCGACAGTTGGTGACATTGTGGCCAATTATTTTTCTTCTGGTCCGAGAACCAAAATGGATGCTCAACCTATGCACCACTCACAACCTAAGACGCTAGATGTTTATTTTTTGGGACTCTCTAGGGATAGCGACCTGTCCACCGTGAATGGAGAGGTCTTTCAACATTGGGTGCCGGTTATTTCTAAAGTCATGCCAGACTAACCTTAGCTTTTTATTGATCCAGCTTTCAACGTTTGGAGGTTGGTTGACAAAAAGCCATACCCGATTAGCAACAGTCATCTTATTATAGTTTATTTATTTATGTTTTCACTTTATCCAGTTTTTCTTTATGAGTTTTTCAGCCCAAGAATTGCATTGTGTAGTTACATAGTTATAGTTGCATGGTTCTGCATATATTTGTTATAGCATTAGCATATTTTGAGTAACAATGACTGTTTTGTCCACTGTGCATATACCTCAATAAAAAGAAAACTACAAAAATCAAATCAAATCAAATCATAAAATACATTGTATCTCTCATTTATATAGAAGACTGTTCTCCATCTTAAAATATTGCTTGTGAATATCTATGAGTTTTAGAGGTCTTCTCTGTTCATTTTGTAGTAAGCCAAAATGAAAAAGTAAGATAACACTGAGAATAGACCAGATCAGCTTGTCCTTCCACTAGTATCCACTCTGGTTTCAAATAAATCTTAGCTCAGTTGTGTTATTTTTTTTTTATTATTATTATTATTTTACCTCCCCTCTGTTAGCTATTTTTTTAAACTTTACCTCCCCTCTATTATGCCCCTTTATTAGCCACTTCTTACTTGTCTTATCAATAAAATCAACATTTATTAGCTATCCCCAAGTCATCAATATTTTTCCCCATCAAACAACTCTTATTTCAAAACCATGGGCATAACTCTGAATCACAAATCAAACAAACATGCTCATTCATTGTGCAAGTGTATTGTCTCATGACTAGTCAACATGATGATTGAGAAATCAGAAATTAAAGGACCACTCTAGGCACCCAGACCACTTCAGCTTAATGAAGTGGTCTGAGTGCCAGGTCCTTCTAGGGTTAACCCATTTTTTTATAAACATAGCAGTTTCAGAGAAACTGCTATGTTTATGAATGGGTTAAGCCTTCCCCCTAATCCTCTAGTGGCTGTCTCACTGACAGCCACTAGAGGCGCTTGCATGCTTTTCACTGTGATTTTCACAGTGAGAGCACGCAAGCGTCCATAGGAAAGCATTGTAAATGCTTTCCTATGCGACGGGCTGAATGCGCGCGCAGCTCTTGCCGCGCATGTGCATTCAGCCCAGGAGGAGGAACGGAGGAGGAGAGAAGGAGGAGAGCTCTCCGCCCAGCGCTGGAAATAGGTAAGTTTTTAACCCTTTCCCCTTTCCAGAGCCGGGCGGGAAGGGGTCCCTGAGGGTGGGGGCACCCTCAGGGCACTATAGTGCCAGGAAAACGAGTGTGTTTTCCTGGCACTATAGTGGTCCTTTAATACAGTCACACAATTATCTGGGCCAAGTGGCTGTCTAAAAATTAAAACCATCATTAGACAGCGACACTTCACACACATTCTGGCCGGCACACAAACACTAAAGTATGGGAGAGTATTGAATGGAACATAGTGGATCACAGTGTCTGTATTTATAAGAAAACAGCTATGGAAGATGAGCTAATAAAGAAACATGAATATTTCTTTACACTCATTGTAACAGAAATACTCACCTGATATATACCAGCTATACCAAGAAACACTGACACTGGCTACCCAATCCATCAGCTACACACTCACTACTATATGCAGACACTCACTGCAAAAGGCACACACATATTATAACGTTAACTCACAATATGACAACTAGCACACACAACTAAAAGACAAGGTCAGACACCTACAGACAATCATCTGCCCACTATATGCACAATATGAAAGCTAACATACACAACAATACCTACATACATATTCTGGCAGCTACAGAGTGTTGGACATTCGCACTACTTATTCAGAAGCACATTGGGTGGGTAGGGAGAGAGTTGGTGGGCATTTACAAAGGTTTTAAAATGGAGCTAAGCCACCATTGGAAAGGTCAGTGGTGACAGTGTCAAAATTTCTTTAGCCTAAACTTGTGTCTGTAAACAGTTCAAACAACATGTTTATCTGTTTAGAATGTATGTAAACCAGGCCATCTGCCAAATTGATTGACACATTCTGGGGCGACGATTCATTAATACCAAAATTAAATATTTAAAACTGAAGGTGAGGGCAAAAGGAACTAAAGAGGTGTGGAAAGGGAGTTATGAGTCTGTGTACGATGAATAATGTATTATGCATGGCATTCTGAGCATGGCATTCGGCTCTACTTTAAATAGAGCAGTTATTTATATGATCTTCCCTGTAAAATGTAGGTGTTACAACTCAATATATTTTTGAATGGAATGATTGACAGTGGGTCGCATGCGGCCCGTGGCCAGCGAGTTTGACATGCTTGGTGTACTGTATGCTTATATGTTTATCTTTCTTTTTTTAATAATTCTTTATTTTTGTCATCCATTGTTCGGCAGTCTAGGCCAGTAAAAAGATTGTAACAAACAAGAACAAAAGTAGAATCAGCATTCAGTTTACAAACAAACATTTTTGACATTATTATATCGCCTGGAATCAGCATTTTATGCACTTTTTATATATAAGAACAAAATGGAGATGGAACCAGGGGCTAGTGGTAGGTTAATACAACTCTAGAGTATCAAGCAGGTGGGACTATCCCACGTGTCTCCTAGTATGGTGCGGTAAATATGTTTGCCTGAGGGGTGGCTTGAAATAGGGGGAGGGCAATGTAGTTACACTGATGTTCATATGTTCATACATGCAATTAAGGACTGGTGCTCGAGATGCACATCAGAATTTGGTAGGTAGAATTTGGTCATGTGTAATAAGAACAGTCCGGCTAGGAATATAATTGAGCCTTTAAGTCAAAAGTGTTGTGCATTTTGATTTGTTACCCCTAACCAAGGGAGTGGCGGGGGTGAGGGGAAAAGAAGCCGTACTTTTCGGTAGAAAAGGAGCAGAAAGTAACTAAACCTGCCTCCTTATAAAATACTCTGGCTCCGTGTGTTTAACCACTTGGGGCTCTTAGTAGCCTAACATGAGGAACTAACGCATTTCAACATTTGCAGTGATGCTAAAGCAAAAAAACAAAAACAACACAAAAAAACACTGTTAAAAACATGTGAGATTATTAGAGAATCTTTTGAGCATGGCCTTCCACTCTATTTCTTGCTGGCAGGTGGACACGTTGGGTCAATGTCAGTCCCCGGTTAGTCATAGTCAGACATGTAGGTCCTGGGATCTTCCCACTCTCGGGACAAAGGGGGTAACATTGGCAGTGTTCCAAGCTTCCTCAAGAGTCCCCGTGGTCTGTATAGCAGGTACATAGGGTAGTCATAAGGCTGCCAGGAAATCGGGTGCTGCGTCCAGCGACACAAGGTTATGTGTAGTCCCATTGTGGGTCACCATGAGGGAGCCCCTTGGTTCCCATCTATAAGTTAGTCGCAATTGAGCTGTGACCGGACCAAGGGACTTCCTCCAGGCCAGGGTGATTCTTGTAAGATCTTGGAAAAAAGATAGTTGCGAGTCCTCGAAGGCCAGAGGTGTCTTACCCTTTAAGGCCAGCATGATTTGGATCTTGTCATGGAGATTTGCGCAGAGTAGTATTACATCTCTGACCATTGTGGGGGGGGGGGGGCTCTCATGGAGCACGATATATCCCATCTATGGTGATCTTCTTGGCGAGGGCATTCGTCAGCTGGTAAACCCCGGATTTTGATATGGGTACATCACTGCCTGTCTTCCAGAGATGTAATGTGCACTGTTAAAGCCTTATGCTCGGTGCAAAGTTGTTGGACTGAGTCCCTTAGGGATGACAGATGAGATTGTATGTCTGTAATTTGTTCCTCAGCTGTTTTCATATATCTGTCAGAAGGTCTTTCAAATTGCGCTTGGTCGTGGGGGTCAGTAGGCGATGGCTGGTTAGTCGCGGGGTCAGTACTGGTTGTTGAGCCCTGCTGCTCTGATTCTGGTGCTGGGGTGGGTCCATGTTGGTCTGCTGCCATTCGGGCCCGGAATGCGTAGGTCGCTGGAGCATCTCTCCGATGTCCCTACCGACATGGGCAGTGTCCGGCTTGTACGAGCGGTTTCGTTTTGCTGGCATACTGCTAGCTGGAGTAGGTGCTGTCCCTGCCAGGATGCATCATGACTGCTCTGTAGTGGGCACAGTGAGGAGCATCTCCAAGTCCAGGATGGATGGTGCATAGTAGGCCACAGTTTTGCACCTCTGTTTAGGCTGCTTCGGTGCCTGAAAAAATGGCATTGATCGATGCGGCTTGCTTCCACGATGCTGAGAAGCTGGTCAGATTTAGTAGATGGATGTATTAAGCGAAGATATTTAATTAGATTCTTTCATGAGTAGGAGAGCTAAATGAGATGGTGTCCGTTCAGAATGGTTGCCAAGCTCCGCCCCCCCATGTTTGTCTTTCTGTACTAGCTATGTGTAATGAGTATTCAATATACAAAAGTTTTTTGCTTTGTTTTTTCCAAGAAATCGGCTGCCTCTTTTGTTTGTTTTTGTTTTTTAAATGTATTTATTTATTTTTTCCAGGAAAATATTTTTTTTCTCTTTCTATGATAAGTTACGGCAATTATATTATTCCTTAGGTATATTACATCATCCTTACACACAGATTTATTTTTCTTGCTGCATGAGATTTGACTGCACTTTTTGCAGCCAATTTTAAGTTGCTTTCTGTAATACTGTGCCATTTTGCTATGGTTAATTCATCATGAAGTTGATTTTTTCCCTCTGTTTAAGTTAATTTCTTTAAAGGGACACTGTAGGTACCCAGACCACTTCAGCGACTTGAAGTGGTCTGGGTGCTGTGACTGTTTTTGCACCTAGTGCTGACCAATTAGCGTTTTGGCCAATCAGCACCTTCTCATAGAGATCATTGCATCTCTATGAGGAAAATTCAGTGTCCCCATGCAGAGCGTGGGGACAATAAACCGCAGGGCTGCTTACTGTGCAGCCCTGAGACAGGAAGCCCTCCAGTGGCCATCCAAGGAGTGGCCACTTGGATGTGTCCCTTCTCTAAAAAGGCAGTGTTTACATGAAAATGCCTGAAGGGAACTATTATACTCACCAGAACAACTACATTAAGCTGTAGTTGTCCTGGTGACTATAGTGTCCCTTTAAATGTTGATTTTATTCACAGACCAAGTGAAATATGACCAAAATTAGGGGAGGGAGAGAAGGAGCCATAAAAAGATAATCTATATTGATATATTTATCCTCTTTTCCCCTTTTTAGTCACTTGCTTTAACTTTAAATGTGAACCAAATCGCAGGAAATTGTTCCTATCAGTGATTGGCCCATTATCACTCTCTTTTGGCTTTTTCATGAATATTCAGATGAGAATCATCACATAGACAACTATCAGGCTACCTAAACTAAAAAAGATCATTTTGCAAAATCTAAAAAATTACAAAGCATTACATAATGAATTGGTTTGGATAGCAAAGTAAATTACAAAAAGCATACATCACTAATTTGCTCATTTCGTTTTTGGTTTCCTTCAATTCCGACACTTCCATATTGCCCAATTCAGACGAAATTCCCTTTGGAACTAAATTAATTGTAGATGTATTGTAGATATCTGATTGTCCATCACCAAAGATTTCCTTGATCTGGCAAATAACAATATTTGGACCGTGACATGGTAATAGTGGCAAAAAAAGTAGCCTTACCACAAACTCTCGGTTTCTCACATTTCTGTGCCAAGACATTTCTAATCCTATGGCAACAGTCGATGAGTTCGATGTCTTCTTGGACATTTTGCTAAAAAAGTGTGTCAATTATATTCTCAGACACCGCACTGAGTCTTGAATGATTTCACTGAGACATGTCCAATCTACTTGGGAGATTTCAAGAAATGTAATTGTATTCTTTAAACCAAAATTGTAATGCTCACTTCTGTCCTGAGCATATTTAAATGACAGCAGTTCATTAGCAGAGGTACTCTGATGAATCAGTTATTTTGTTTTTAAGATGTAATGTAAGTTGCTCTGTCGTGCTTGAACTTATTTATAAAATTCAGCAGTAGATGTTTTATATCTTTGATATTTGTTTCCCTTTTCACAGTTTTACATTTCTAACTGTCACTGTGGTGTCTCAAATATAAACTGCAGAGTTATTTATTTAAATATTTGCCCTATATTTTCGTAAAGCTATGAGAGTTCTTTACTTAAGTGAGAATTCAAAGTGAATTTCAAATTAAAGACCCACACAGCCAAAACGAAAAAATCACTCCAGTTAGCTACACTTCCAATTCCCCTATTATAGCCTTAAAGGGAAACTATAGTGCAAGGAAAAAAAAGTTGGATTCTTCGCACTATAGCTCAATATAGCACTCCCCTCCCTTGCAACCCCCCCCCCCACTTTTGTAACTTACCTATTTTCAGCGAGATGTCGCTCAGCACTGGTTCAGGCTCTGCCTCCGCTCCTCCCTTGGGACGTCAGCCAATGTGCTCGCATTTGGACTTCCCCCAAAGGAAAGCATCTGGTAGACAGCCACCAGAGGTGGACTTAACGCTCAAAGATAATTATTGCAATTTCTGCTTGCCTTATCTGGGTGCCTATAGTGTTCCTTAAAATATTATTATTATGATATTTATAGAGCGCCCTCAAATTCCGCAGCGCTTTACAATGGGTGGACGAACAGACGTGTAGTTGTAACCAGACAAGTTGGACACCCAGGAACAGAGGGGTTGAGGGCCCTGCTCAATGAGGAAGTGGGGTAAAATGACACAAGAAGGTAAGGATAGTATTAGACTAGTGACAGTTGCAGAAGAGGAATCAGTCAGGAGCTATTAACAGTTTAATTGATACGCTTTTATGAAGAAGTGGGTTTTTAATGATTTTTTAAAGGAGTGGAGACTGGGTGAGCATCTAACGGAGGAGGGAAGCGAGTTTCACAGGAACGGTGCAGCCCTTTCGAGAAATCTTGAAGGCGAGCATCAGAGGTGGGAGTACGGACAGAAGATAGACGTAAGTCTTCAGCAGATCGTAAGGGCCTAGACGGGACATACTTGTGTATAAGGGAGGATAGATAAGTGGGAGCAGCATTATGTAGAGATTTGAAAGCAAGAACCAGAATTTTAAATTGAGCTCTATATTTTATAGGAAGCCAATGTATGGGCTGACAGAAGGGTGAGGCATGGGAGGTGCGGGCGGACAGAAGATGAGCCTCGCCCCCGCATTCATTATGGACTGTAATGGCACAAGTTGGGAGCACGTAAGACCACTGAGAAGCGGATTACAGTAGTCAAGGCGAAAAAGGACATTGGAATGGACCAACACGTTAGTCGCATCTGGCGTTAAGTTGGGGTGGATGCAAGCAATGTTTTTGAGATGGAAATGACAGGATTTGGCAATAGATTGAACATAAGGCATGAAGGAGAGGTCGGAGTCAAAGAGAACACCTAGGCAGCGAGCCTGTGTGGTGGAGCTGATGGTAGCACCGAGGGAGACAGACACAGGAGTAACAACACCTGAGGGAGGAAAGACCAGAATTTCAGTTTTGGTCAAGTTTAGTTTAGTTTAAGGAAATGGGCAGATATCCAGTTAGAAACAGCAAAGAGGCAGTCAGAGACACTAGTCAAGAGGGACGGGGAGAGATCAGGAGAGGACAGGTAGATTTGCGTGTCATCTGCATAGAAAGGATATTGGAAGCCAAAGGAGCTAATGAGTTTACCAAGGGAAGCAGTATAGATGGAGAACAGTAGGGGACCGAGGACTGAACCTTGGGGGACACCAACAAAGAGGAGTTGAGGAGAAGAAGCAGAGCCAGAGAAAGAAACATTGAAAGAGCGCTGGGAGAGGTAGGAGGAGCACCAGGAGAGAGCAATATCTTGTAGACTGATATTGCAGAGGATGAGAAGAATCTGTTGATGATCAACAGTGTCAAAATAACCCTGTATTTGGCATAATCGCAATGTAACCCCTGACTTCGCTCTTGCTCTTTTTCCTTGTTTGGTTAATGAGCATAAAATAAACATTTTACTTTCTGTTCAACCCCACTATGCATTATTGTTTTGTGTTGTTTTTTTTTTTTTTTGCAAAAAAATGAATACATATTTTTGCTAAATAAATATTTTTGTAAAAAAAAAGAAATTTGTGAGCAATATTTCATCCATATCACTCTGGTGAAAGTAGAAAACATTTTTTTTTTCATGTTTTGAAATCGAAATAGAGAAATTCTCAAATAAAATGCCAGAAAGAAAATAAAATCCAAGCACAATTTAGATCAGAGGTCGGCAACTTTTAAGTATTACTGTGCCAAAACAAGAAGTCCCTTGACGTGCCAGTTCTAATTTTTTTATTGAGGTGTGTATGATGCTATATTGTGCGTAATTTATTTATAGGTGCTGCCGTTGCTTTGTAGCACTGTATTTGAGCATACGTGGGCTGTTATATTGTATATATATTTATATGTACACAATAGAGCAGCCTACGTACAACAACAGGGAAAAGATCAAAATGGTCAATCCACTGGAGTTTTTAATGGTTGAAGGGTATCTGATATTGTACATGTTCATGTTTATGGTATTGTCTATAATATCTATGAATGTGGGCTCCTCTATGGGGGCTGCTTGTGGAATTGTGTGGATAATATCACACAATTCCATAATATAATATAATATATAATATAATAATATCTATGATACCCGAAGAGCATACTGATAGGCGACCCTCCATAACAATTGGCTTCCCAGACAGCTTTCCACTTTGCAGCTCCACTATTGGACATGCAAAGTGCTACCATCCCCACTCTTCATGGCGGGTTTCCCCAGTGCACAATCTTGCCCTATGTAAATTTGCTGTTCTTGAAATGTTTTTCTATATTTATGTGTCTTTCCCCTTCCCTCCCCCTCTTACCCACTTGTTATCCACCTTATCAACACGTAAACATACCCTCACTCCCCAACCATACTAATGTACCCTATATTACCTCAGGCCTCACAATAAGGGAGAAAAATCAGACTCCTAACATCTCCTCCCATTCTATACAACTACCACTGATGGTACTGTGCTGGCAACCAGGTTTTTTTGAGAAGGCACGCACTAGGTTCATTGAACCTCTCATAGCCCCTTGCTTA